TTTCATCTTTTGCTGTTTATCATTAAATTGATCCAGAATTTTGGAGCCTAAAAGGAATAGAAACGTTTCAGCTGTTTTTATTTTCATTTTCTCCTTGTTTCATCCTTTCCCTCTCAGTTATCACTCATCTTATCTGAATTAAAGTTCATTTCACATTGACTCTTAGTTTATTTACTGTTTTTACTGTACTTATTGTTTTAGAAATCTGATTTAAAATCCTAGTCCACAAGCATCCTCTTTCCCCTAAATTTCCATCTTGATTTAAGTTTATATTTTTTGGCTGCATCTAAAAATATCGAAGATATTTTCAATTTAAAGAGATATGAAACAATACATGACCTATAAAAACTTAAATATCATTGTAGTAGGTCATCACATCAATTCAGTTTAGTCTGTCCAATCAGCTGCCTGTAGTATCTTTAAATGTCCAGCAGGTGTCAGTACTCAATGAGACAGAATCAATGCAGCATCAATAGTTTGGCTTCAATAACCCATCACTAGTATCACTATAAATTACCACCATTACAGCTACTGTTTTATCTCAGTGATTGAATCAGTTCGTGGATCATTTATTATTCACCTTCAGCCTGTGATTCTTGAGACCAAACAGTCTTGGTTCTGTTGAGTCCGCTGTGGACCAGAACCTTTGAGCGGTGCTCTGCTCCGTCAGTATTTATCCTCTCTGGCTGGTCCATCCTCCTTCTGGGGCGACATTTCACCGCGACGGGTGGGGAGAATCTTAAATCATCTTTATGTCCCTTAAAACACGGCGCTGGATGTTAAAACCCTGAACGTCTCACAGTAGAGGCCCCGTTGATCTGGAGCCCGGTTGATCTGGGGCCTCTAGCTGCCACTACATCAGTGGTTCCCAAACTTTTTTGGCTCAAGGTACCCCTACACAGTTTTCCACCCAGCCGTGGTACCCCTAAACTGACTTTTATTTCACATTCTACTCTTCATTGTGCAACATTTTTGTAATGTCAAGCATAACAGCATGCGGAAACTTTTAGAACTTTTATTAAAATAATAAGCTGATTGTAACAACAAAGATCAGCATTTTCCTAACAAACCAAATATATCCCAAATGGTGAAATATTAACATAAATATTTTAGTCTAGAAACATGAAATAAGTTATGCCAAAATAACCAGAACATAACAAGTATGCTCCTGTCTCTGACTGCAGTCTGTTGATGTGAGGGGGGGTGGGGGGCAGTGAAACACAGAGATCCTCTTCTACTGGGAGCCTTTCCCTCAGCTTATTTTTCATGTATGTCAGAGAGGAGAGAGCCAGTTCAAAGGTAGGAGGTAGGGTAACTGTATCAACACTGATGGCACTTTCTGAAATAGAGGGATACTCCTGTCTTACTCAGAGCCTAAATGTGTCCAATGACGGTTCGCTGTGCTTTAACTTCAGTGTCCGCTCTGCTTGCAGCTCTACAAGCTCATCCTGCCCCTTTGTAGTCAAACATTCTGCTGCAGATGTTGTGGTAAGATTGTGAAAAGGATCTCAAACCCAAACTCTGCATTTGTTTGTGGTAAACAGTTCTCAAACCCTTCTTCCAGTTTCGTCAGGGGAGCAGACACAGATTGAAAAAAATGGCAGTGTTGTGTGTGGCATTGCTAGTTGTCAGTGGAAACATATCAAGACTTTTTTTAGCCACCCTCTGTTGCCATTGCTTTTTTCTGTTGCTGTGAGAAGGGTTTCATTTTTACATTTAGCTCATTCATGTGTTCATAAATGTTAGCCAGGGAAGCTAGTTTGAGCCAAAAGTCATTAATCTGCTCCTGAAAAGGAATGTGATGCTCTCTAGCAAAAGCCAGTAGTTCTTCTCTTAGTTCATAAACATGAGCCAATGCTTTACCCCTTAATAACATCGGACCTCAGTGTGTAATAAGAGACCCAGATGTTCAGATCCCATTTCACTGCAGGGGGAGTGTCTTAACCGGGTGGGACTTAATGTAGTTGACGATTTTGACCGCTTGACCCCAAACCTCAGTGAGATCAGGGTTTTTGCAGTAAGACTCTCCCTGTGGAGCATGCAGTGTCACTCCTATGATGGGATTTCTCTCTTTTGCTTTGGTCACAAAGCCTTTAGCTCGGCCCGTCATGCACGCAGCGCCATCAGTACATATACCTGCGCACATCTGCCAGTTAAGGCCATTTTCCATGAAGTAATCATTGGTGACCCTGAACATCTCATCACCCGTGGCATGATTTCTCAGTGCCTTACAAAATAAGAAGTTTTCTGTTATGCGGTCCTCATCGACGTTCCTCACATTAGCGATCAGGTGACAAACAGCACTTTCATCGGTGGAATCATCTATTTGAAGTGAAAACTTTCCGCTCTGTCGTAGTCTGTCAGAGACTAGCTTTAATGTCAGCGGACATATTGTCAATGCGCCGTTTGATGGTGTTGTCAGAGAGCTGATTGGTTTCTTTGGCAGCGTCTGGTCCTAGCATTACTTGAACAATGTTTTTGCATGCCGGTAAAATTAGCGATTCTGCAACGGTGTGCGGCTTTTTTGCTTTAGCGATGATTTCAGCTACCATATAACTAGCCTTCTGTGCTTTCTCTGACACACGAACCGCATACGTTGACTCTGTGTGGCATTTTGTGATTTTAGCCTTTTGAAGAATTCAATGTCTTTATTTTTATAGTCCTGGTGCTTTGTGTCAAAGTGCTTTCAGAGTTTACTGGGTGCCATAGCGTTGTTTGCTAGCGTCTCCCTGCTGATTAGGCATACAGGTGTGGGACATGTAGCATCCCCACTCCAGAAGAATCCGTATTTGAGATACCGGTCATTGTAGTGTCTCATCTTTGGCCTCTTTGCTCCCCCTGACTCTTCAGGTGTGTCCAGACGCGAAGGACCTGAACTGCTTCGCTTCACAAACCTGTCCATCATTGTTCCGTCTCCACCGCGGACACTGCCATAGCATCGCTGTGTAGAAGTGACGCCGCCACGCCCCCTCAACCCAAATGCATTATTTGATAATTATTTTTCTGTCATTTTTTCAAAGTAGTAAAGAAAAGATAAAATGAAGCCCCTCGCTTTAGAATATATTTGCTTACATCACAATAAATGTACAAAATTGTTAAAATGTACATTCAGTATAAAACTCATCAATCTATGAAAATATCCTGCGGTACCCCTGTAGTGACACCTCCGTACCCCTAGGTGCCGCTGCTCCCACTTTGAAAACCCCTGCACTAGATTATGGTTCCTAGCTTCAGGTATTAAAGGAAAAGTCCAGTCAGCAAGCAATGATCAATGGATCATGGCAGCAGGGGGGGGGGGACTAGAGGTGAGAAAAAATGGCCGCTCCCAGACTCTCTGATCACGACAAAAATTGTTTTTATGTTTTTACTGATTAACGCCAAATCCATTAAAACACTGCAAACGTTTCAGGTATAAATAATGATCCATTGATTATTCCTGCTGATCGGACTTTTCCTTTAAAGGTGTTTGTGTTTCTATCAGGTGTGTTCTTCACCTGTATGCAGGTGAGAGGCTGATTTGAACTGAAGCCTCTGCTGTTTGTGGCAGCAGCTAATCCGATTAGCCCTGAATGAAAAAACAAAAACAAGTGAGGAGATTTTGTTAAAAACCTGTATTCATTCTGAACACTGAAAAAAAAGGAGCCATCTTTTATCCAATCCTGTTTAAAAACACTTGATCAGCACCTGCAGGTGCTCGTTACTCCCATCACATCAAAAACATAAATAAAACAAGCTTTAGTAAACCACTGAGCAGGAAGAGCACATCGCCGTGGCAACCGGTCCCACCGGCCTGAACGGGCCATGGCGGGGCGGCTCCATCAGAACCCGTCCTTCCATCAGAAACATTTCAAACCCAAACGCCGGAGCAGGAACTGCATCGGTCATCAAGCCTTGCTGTTGGTCATAGCGGTTAGCTAAAAGCGGCGCAGAGCGGCTAAATGTGGCTATAAATGTTAGCATTACAGGAGGAAGCCAGCCGTCCGTAAATCTATGGCTTCTTCCTCTGGTTCTCGTCTCAAACAGGAAAACATCAACATTTCTTAGATATATTGCACTTATATATGGGGGTGGGGGGGTGGTGGGATTACTGGGGGCGGGAGCAGGCGTCTGGCCGCCACATCCTCAGATCCACCAGGACCTGGTTCAGCTTCCTCATCCACAGGTTCCTCTCCTCCTTGGTGTCGGCACTCAGCCAGTTCCTGGAAGCAGAAGGAAGCTGCTGAGTGGCTCTGCTGTGGGCCGAACCGGTCCGATCCGGTTAGGAGGAGGAACCCACCTGGTGACACACATGGTGTCGGTGCACTGGCTGACCAGCGTCTCTCGGTCGTCCTTCCTCTGCGGTCGGACCGTGATCAGCTCCAGCGTGTTGGGTCTGGCGCAGAACTCCCGGTTGGCGGGCTCCACCTGCTGGCTGGTGCAGCTGGCCAGGTTGATGCGACCGATGGGGTTCTGGAAGGAGGAGAACAGAGCGTGACGACCGGTTCTGATGGCGGTTTCTACGGGGGAAGGGTCAGCTGGTACCTTCCGCCGCTCGTCGTCAGGGTAGGTCCAGTAGGAGATGTAGTACCCGGACAGGACGCACCACCTCCGGTGCCACGCTCCGAAGCCGCTGACGTCCTCAAACATGGTCTGCATGGACAAAGTGGATCCGGTTAGAACATGGAGGAACCCGGCGGAGGTTCTGGTCACAGCTGCTACTCACCAGGAAGCCCCTCTCCTCCACGTTGGAGTCCACCTCACACTGCAGCCTCAGGTGGATGTGGCCCTCCAGCGGGCACAGGAACGGCACCTGGAAGGAGGGGGAGGGAGGAGTTTAAGGCTGGAAGCAAACCCGCGGCAGGAGGCCCCGCGGCAGGAGGCCCCGCGGCAGGAGGCCCCGCGGCAGGAGGCCCCGCGGCAGGAGGCCCCGCGGCAGAAGCCATCTAACTGAGACCCGGTTCTACAGAACCTCTGAGTCAGCTGCTGGTTCTGTGCTTAGATCAGTCTCTCAGACCTTCAGACCCGGTTTAGGAACCATGGGTCGGGCTAAGAGCCGATTGACGTTTTGTAAAAATGTTAAAATAGAAAACTGCTTCATTTTTGTTGTTAAAATTCTTAATTCTACAAACCCTGTAGAATCTGGAACATTCTGGGCATTCAGGTCCATACGTTTAGTTTTATATGCTGCTGTATCCGATACGCTGGAGGCAACAGTTGGAGTTTTCAGATTCTAGCGCGGTGATGTTCTTTTGATTTCTTTTATTAAACATTATAAACCAAAGAAGAGGATTTGGTTCTGCTGGGATTTCAATACATGCTGCTGGACTGATTTCTGAGGCGGCGCAGGAGAAACTAAAGGCCTGGTTCTCCTCCCCCAGCAGCGTGTCGCAGATATTTCTGATTTATGCTCAATATTGAAGCGTGGTCTGTGCTGTGTTATTCCATGCCCCGGCGCCAGAGGGCCAATCAGGAACTAGCTGTGGGTCTAGATACGGCCGAGGCGGTGAGGAAGTGGGGGCCAGTTTGTGTGACATCATTCACTGTGACACACTCTGACCACCTGGTTTCTGGGTAAAGGAGGGGCGCTACAGGCCCGGCTTAACATTGGACCTGAAATAAACATCTTTCCTGGAATATAAAAACCTTCAGACCCGACGACCAGGGCGTCTCAGGCTGAGGGCCCCGCACATACGGACCAGTTCTGGTTCCCCTCCTTCCCGTACGAACGGTATCAATTCATCTGGGCTCAGAGAGCAAAGACTAAAAGAACAGACCAGTTAGAACGGACCATTCTAACTGGTCTGTTCTGGCTGCATATATAGAGGCTCTGACCAGGCAGGGTGAGCAGACTATTTTCCTTCTGTCTCTGTGCTATAACACATTAAAATGGTTTCCCACTTTTGACTGGAACAGATTATGGAAAGTTATTAAAAAAGATTCTAGAAGCAAAGCTCTAGTCTGTGCAGCATCTAGAACGGAAACAGATAGAGAATGTTCATCCATTAAAGCTACAGTGTGTAATAATTACAGGGATATACAGTCAGAAATGTAATATATTATACATAACTATGTTATTTATCATCATCTACGA